GTGGTTAACAGTAGACAAACACATATCAAGAAACTACCAATACATTTATAGAAATCTCTAAAATTGAATTCAATGAAAAATCTAGAAATAGTTATGAAAGAATCACTTATAATTGCTTGTTGTTTGATTGGAAGTGATTTTTCGTGAGAGTGTATATACATATGGATTACTTGAATGACATCCACAATTATACCCAACGGGTGAATACTTGCAATAATCTTAGGTTTTCCTAAAAGGTACTAATTGTCCTCGTTGCAACATCTCCCGAAGATAGTCTATATAACTTTTCATTATTTTACCAAATGCATGAACTTCTTTTTATGTTAGAAATAGTTTAGTAAAGTCTATAAACTGAACAAAAGCAATTGAATATCTTGAATTATTTTCTAATAAGTGATTCAATTGTATAAATACTTACTTTTTGATAAAACTTGTAGGATGCAAAGCTTTAGAATCCCTATATAATTGAGATTGATTGTATGACTCACATTATAAACTTATCTAATGATATTTAAAAACAATGATGAATATAATTCGTATTATATCCTTAGAGAAAAAATTGAATCTTTTTTTTTCCGGAATATTTATTAAATATCGATCATATTTTTCTTTATAAGTCAGATAGTTATTAGCTATTGTTGTACGAAGTAGTAATTATTTTGCCTTGTTTTCTTTCATTGTAATCAAATACAATTTGTAGCCTAATGGTACATAGATTTAGAAAGTTGGCATTCTTAATATCTATCATAATTACTGAATGTGATGACTTTGCAGATAACATCAAAACATCTCTTTTATCTTCCTATTTGATCAATTTTATGCTGATTTTTACGTAAAATTTAGAAACATCACTATCCTTGAGCTTTTCCTTAACAATTTCATAACCGTATTCAGCACGATTAATTCTCAATGTTTCAATAAGATAAGTATTGTTTTACAATCGATGTCTAGTATTTACAAACTGTTTTATTTTAATAACATCTGGAAAAACTCAATATATACTTATTTCATTTCAATGAAAATATCGTTTACATATCCTAATAAACTATGCTGGCAAGTTGAGAATAGTTATTCTATCTCTGAAAACTTCATAAAACAGAAAGTTCAATTAAACATTTTTCTGTTTCTATAATTGTTGCGTCAATCGATGAAAAAATATTCTTGTAAAAATTTTATGCTTCAATCAAATTCAATTTTTGTAAGATTCTATTATCGTTTATATGACGTTGAATTGTCTCAAAAAGAATATTGTCATGAATTTTGATAATAAGAGAATGTTATATATTTGTTCGATTTAAAGAAACTTATCATTGAGACGAAGCACCGTAAAACCTTTTATATATTCAAACCTTGAAAATAGCTTTCAATGAATAATTTTAACAGTTAACTAAGGAAAAAAAGTTCCTTTTTTTATTTGTCAGGAATATATTTTAAGAACGTTTTAAAATAAGAAAGACAATTAATGAGTAAAACTGCCGTGAGCTATTTTTAATATGATGTTCCACTTATCTTTGAATTTTCTCAATCTTGAAAAAATATGTTATTATAAAAGAGAATATTGCTTACATTATCATTCTGTGAGTTTCCTACTATTAACACACGTCATTATGCTTTGGGTAACATTTTTCTTTCTTTGTTGTTCCACGGGTGAGTCTATATTAATTGGATCGATAGTTAACGCATCGTATATTCCAATGCCAATAAACTCAACTTCTTCTGTAACAATTTTCAATAGCACATGTCTTCAATGTCTTTGTGCTGCTAGAAGTCAAAATTTAAATTTTATAGCAATAAATTGTTTCATAAATTCTTTATCTTGCATTTTCTACACCAACTATTCAAATACATTTGCAATAGTGTCAACTGACAATACATTAGTATATTTTTACCAAATACCATCTAGAACTATCACAACAAGTCCATCTACAACTCAACAAAACATAACAAATGTACCTGCGATTCAACAGATTACAACAACTTTATCAACCACTCAGCAAAGCACAACAGTTGCAACTACAATGCAACAGATTACAACAAGCTTATCTACAACTCAGCAAACTACAACAAGTGCAACTACAATTCAACAAATAACAACAAGTTTATCTACAACTCAGCAAAGCACTACAATTACAACTACAGGTGAGACATAAATCAACTCATCTATGAAATTTCACATGGTTTCGTTTTCCAATGAGATAGAAGCTAAATATATGGAAAGATTTAGTATTGAAATTTCTATTCATGCGATATGTTCCAACGTAGAGATATGTGATTCACAAAACCTCATAGTGATAGACAGACGATTGAACGTAGGTATAGCAAAGAACTTAAAAACGTACGATTTTAACGGATGGAAAACCGGGTCTTCCTATCATTTGTTATGTTACATTCATTTCCTCAAATGAACTGAGAGAAAGTTTTTATTTGAGCTCTTAAATCATCTGTAGACAACTTTGTCAGTATAGATGAAATAGAATATCGACATCCACATTCTTATCCTTTCTTAGTATAATATATTTCCATTATTTTTAATTTGATGGTGACTCTCAACTAATTTTTATAGTTTTAAAATATTTTTCTAATGTATTTGTTTTTTTTTTTTCCTATGAAAGCTGTCTGTCTAACAGTGAACCTTGTATGTTATGGGACTGGATGGGCCGCGGCTGGTACATGTTGTGCTGGATTAACATGTTATGGAATTACATCATTCTATATGACATGCATAACGTCTGGATGAACAGAGCAATTGAACAAAATAAAAATATGTTTTTAATTAATTTCATAGAAACCCCAAATTTATGTAAATCAAACAGGACTGATAGTTTTTCAGTCAAAAATATACTCAATATTATACACTTTGAACTTTTATTTTTTTATCAGTCGAATACTACCTAGAAAAAAATTACAGTTGATTTTTTCTAAATGTATTTTGTTTTATTTACGAAAATATAAATATTCATCTTATTACATTTCTCCTAAAATATTCTTGTTAAATATAAGTATAGCATCTTCTGTTTCTTTTAAAAAATGATGAATATGTTCGGATACAGTTTGTTCATCTTCAAACCATGTACAACAATAGAATGTGGCATACATGGCTGAATACACTATATCCAAGTAATATTTTATATTTTGCATATTATATATATCATTGAGTAATTCATGATAATTTTGTTGTTGTTGAATAAGTAATTTAAACTGTTTTTCTTCTTGATCGTTTTCAAACCAACGAGAATAAAACTCAAGATCATTATTAATGAATGTCATCGCACAAGATTCCCAATCGAGTATTGATAAAATTTCTGCAGTATTTTCATTAACTAAAATATTTGATGAATTTAAATCTGTGTGAGTAAGATGCAATTGTATTTCTACCGACGATAAATTAACATCTGTTCTAGCATGATCAATTATTTTTTGCAATGATAATATTAGATGTTCACCTGCACTTTGTAATAATTGTTCATCTGTTTGAATTCGTTGTATTGACCATTGTAAATGTTCGATAATATATTCTTTTACAGTAGAAAATGGTCCTAAAGTCGGACCATCTTCAATTGTTCCACCAAGAAACATTTCTTTAGTATAGAAAGAACCAATTTTATTCATTTGTGATAATTTTATTTGACGTAATTGTTTAATATAATGGCATGTTTCTATTCCTATTTTAAGTAAAGTTTGATCAGACATATTTTTCATAACAGATTCTAAAGTGTCTCCATGAATTTTTTCCATTAATATATATTCACATGATAAAATACTTGTTTTTGAATCAATTGAATAATCAATTATTTTTGGTATTGGAATTGTTGTATGTTGAATTAAATATTGCATTGTATAAACTTCATTTTTAATACGTAATTCTTTCCAATATCGATGAGGATTTGATACTTTTAATATGAATTCTGTGTAAGTAGAAGTTTTTGATTGTGTTTTTAAGTTAAATATGAAATTAATACGTCCAGATGTTTGTAAACGTTCGTAAGCGATGCATTGTAAATTAAATCGTTCTAAAAGTTTGTTCAGATTTTCTGTTGTTATTTTCGATAAGATTGATTTAATATCTTGTATCTGTTCGGAATACGATGGATGTTGAATAAAATTCATTTTGTCAAGATAAATTATCTAAACTTTCTTCGTATTTATATATCGAAGTTAACGTTGCTGTCTGTAATTACATAAGACATGACACATTACACATATATGTAGATAAGAACGTATATGTACCATAGAATATGATATATGATCCGTTTAGAAAGAGAAACTAGGATATAGATGCACGAATTATGCGAATCATATTTATTTTTCATTCATTCTGGTATGTCGTAGGTAATAGGGAGTGGATATTCAATCTTATACTTAGTTTTTTAATTGATAGTAGTTTGCTGTGCAACGGCATGAAGTCGAGCACGATATAGATCCAATAGAGTTTTGACAAATAGTTCGAAATCTTTCAAATTGTATCGATGGCCAACAATAGAAACAAGACTATAGAGACGTCCTTTAATATGTGTGATAGTTGATCACATTTAATGAAACAGGATGAACTATACGAATTAAGCCAACATATTATTCTAATAGTGATCCTAAATATTGAGCGTGTACACCATTTTCAGCAATTTTTTACCCTAATTTAATCATGCCATGCCTTTCAAGTGTAAACCATACTTTGAGGGCACGGGCAACAAAGTGAATAATTAAAGAACAAACAATGACCCACCTTCACGTCACTATCACTCTTAGTCTTGCTCAGACTCCACACGCACACACAGACACATTCAAGTTCGAATAATCTTTAAATCTCTTTATTTTTCAACTGTCTTTTTAATTGTAGTCATATGCAAAATAATAAAAATTGCTAAAAACTCTCGAATTCTGTAGGATACAAAACGGTTTCGGCAGTTGCCCAAGGTTCGTCATCATACCGTTCACAGTAACTCTCAAAATCGTTTGGTATAAATGGTGCTTCAAGACGTTTTTCGCCTAGAGCAATCCAGTCGATTGATGAGAACCATCTGTGATTTTTAATATCTGCTGTCCCACCTTCCAAGCAACCGTAACGATTTGCTGAGTGATGTTCAAGCAATTTACGTATGAGATCTTTAAGATCAGATGAAAAATAACGTGGAATATCAAATCTACCAGCCCTTATCTTTGTGTAGGTTTGCATGGGATCATCTGCATAAAATGGAGTTGAACCCTTGTAAAAAGTATCAAAAATAAGTCAACAGAGTGCTGAATGTAATTTCTAGCTTACGTTTGTCATTTCATATATCAAAACACCCAATGCCCAATAGTCGACACCTTTATCATGACCAATTCCGCTGATAATCTCGGGTGCTAGATACTATAATATTGAAGTTAAATAGTAAAATATTTAGTAGAAAAAAAGAAGAAAAGATTACCTCCGGTGTTCCACATAAAGTGAACGTTCGATCTTGTACAACTTTTGCAAATCCAAAATCAGTTAATTTCAAGTAACCATCGGCTGCAAATAAAATATCTTCAGGTTTTATATTTCGATAGATGATATCTACAATTCAATGAAAACCTAATGGATAAAAAGAGAGATGTCATAAATTTTGTTTACTCACTCAAATAATGTAAATATTCTAAAGCAAGCACAATTTGAGCAGCATAAAAACATGCTTGTTTTTCTGAAATTTTGTCTGCGCGCCTTCAAACAGAAATGACAATCTTAATAAAAACATTAACTTAACTCACCGAAGTGTAGTAAACATGTCACCACCGCTGCCAAACTCAAGTGCCAAATAAAGATATGCATTGTCCTTGAATGCATATATTAAATTGACTATAAATGGAGAATTGACTGCTTCTAAAATGCATTTTTCTGATAAAATATGCATGACTTGACCACATTCAACAATCGTCCGTTTTTTCATTATTTTTAATGCTAACGATTGATTGCCATGTTTAACAAGCATCACACGAGCGAACGAACCTTTGCCAATAGTTCGCTTTAATTGAAAATCTTCTATATTAGCTGTTTTAGCTAATGATTTATTATATTTCATTTCAAACTCGTGTTTTGCACGTTCCAGATATGAATTAGTTTCAATATTGGTTTGATTTTGAGTCATTTTTGTGAATTTCTACGAATAGAGATAGTAGAAAAATGAGATCATTACCTGCTATTTATTAGTTAATCTTAAGCAGAGCAGAAAACCAAACAAAGATGCGCGTTTATATAGTAACTCCCCCCCCCCCCCGCTCAGGTCAGTTCAGAACAAGCCGTTCTCATCTTGAAAACGCTATGTTTGACACATGCAAACAAGATGGTTTTTACTTGCAAAGTACGTCGCAATATTGTGAAAATGATTTTTCTATTTTCTTTATTTGTTGCAAAACAAATACTGATTTTAGAGTTTTCATGCGTTTTGTTAAAACTCTAGCTCCCTGGACAATGAGTGGATAAAGAATTTTTTGACATCCTTTTTAAATACTTTTAATTTGTAGTTTAGAAACTTTATGAAAAAGGTGTCTATATCGTTGCATGATTCTTGTATCATTACTTACCGACACAACTTCTCCGTCTGTTACCTGTGAATTGAATACGTTTATGTTTGTTGACAGTCAAACAACCAAGCAATCGTCGAAATTATTCTTTCTTTAATGTATTGAGTTAAAAAAACAACTACTTAAGCAGCCACGTCATATTCACTTTTTTTTTATTCCATTGCATCATCCTCTCTCGTTTATTTTATTTGTACTGTACTTTTAGTAATTTTTTTCTTGATTTCTCCCCTTTTCTCCGTTAACAGAATTTCGCAAGTCACATGTAATGATCACTTTCAAACGCATAACTACGTCACATTTTCGAGAAATAAATGAAATTTGCTTTACTCTATGTTTGAAATGGCAGAAAAATGTTTTTGTCTATTAATTACTTCTACTGGAAACTAAGGGCTCTCAATGCCAGGATAACATTTTAATTAATGTTACTCCTATTTCTTGTAACAAAAAGCTATTGTTTATTATCAACGTATGTTGAATTATAATGACCCATTCATCATACATATAAAAAATAGTTTGCAAAAACTGAAAAAATCATAATATAATTAGCAACTATTTCGAGAGTATGAGTTTCGACGTGTATATCTCCTTTCAATTTTTATCAAATAAGTAAAATTGAATTAATAAAAAAATGTCCATTTAAATAATCTACAATAAAAATCAAATACTTCTTATCTTTCTTTTCTTTATATGGAAAGAATATATAGTCTATTTATGATATCTTTCAGGCATTCGGCATTTTTGTTAGTCGTTTTTATGATCGACATTTATTTCTTTCAATGTTTTTTTTTTATTTCTATCTTTTTTTAGTATCAGTCCGTTATCAAATAAAAGTACATATGTTCGGGTTTTTTTATAGATGAGTATTGTTACAGGCAATATTAACTTCGACGCAGTGTATCAATAGTTAAAAACGAAATTAATTGTTATAATGAAAATATAAATAAATAAATAGAGCTTTTGATCCATCCAGGAGTTATCGACAATAGTGACAGTTGATATTATGTGGTTGTAATACTAATATTAGGATTATGTTGATTATTGACTATATAATATGTAAAATTGACCAATGTAATTATGAATTAATGAAATATCTGATTTATTAATAAACTATAGGGTTACTAGATAGTATTATCGATGACTCTTGGACTAGTTTTACTACGGTAGATGTAAAATTATCCGTCGTGGTGTACTTATTGTCAGATTTCAAGCACACAGATGAATAAATTTGGGATTGATTTTTAACAATATTTTATTATCTCGCTAGGATACCTTTTTTCATAATTATTTAAAGCATTTATTATCAAGTAGGCAATTAAAATGCACTGACATAAAGTATTTCTTATTGCCTTCTCAAATAAAATACATTCAAGGTTGGAGATAAGAAACAACAGTATATATGAGAGGAGTAGAACGAAAGAATTTTTTTTTATCTTGTTGCAAGCCTTATGATACAGCACTTTCAAAAATATAAAATAACCTTCGAACGCATACACGTATTCTAGGGAGTATATCGTGCTAAATGAGTATAGCCGAAGAAATTGAACTGCACAGTGCAAATGCAGTTGAATCAAGGATCATTGAACAAACAGACGATTTCAATGAAATTCAACCAACATCTGAACTGAAAATCATGCAGCAAAGAGATGATTTCAATGAAATGTATTCAACATTTGCACCGAAGAGCATTGGACAAACAAATGATTCCAATGAAATTTATCCAACAGCTGAAGAATTGTCAACATTGGAACGTGTTGCTGATAAAATACCAATGGCAGCTTGGTTGATTGTCATTTGTGAATTGTGCGAGCGTTTTGCGTTCTATGGTATCTCTGGTCTTTTTCAAAATTATATTGAATTTCCGTTACCCAGTGGAAATGATACACAACCAGGTGCTCTCGATAAAGGACAACAGACTGCTACTGCATTGACAATGTTTTTTCGATTTTTTGCTTATCTTACACCAATCATTGGTGCCATTCTAGCCGATCAATTGTGGGGCAAATATAAAACTATTATGGTTTCATGTGTGGTCTATATGGTTGGTCTTATTATATTGCTTCTGACCAGTATACCACCTGCTATTGACGCAGGAATCGCCTTTCCTGGCTTAATTGTAGCAATAATTATTCTTGGTTTTGGAACGGGTGGTGTGAAGAGTAATGTGAGTCCGTTGATGGCTGAACAATATACAAGAACAAAACCAACTATTACAGGTAACTAAAAAATAATCTTTTAAAAACAAAGATTAAGTTGCTTGTCTCTTCGTAGTAATCAAAGGCAAAAGACAAATTCTTGATCCAGATATGTAAGTTGCTTAATTGTTTATCTGTTCCATTCTTAGGTTATATATATTGTTTCATATTATAGAACTATGCAATCAATGTTCAATTGGTTCTATTGGGCAATCAATATAGGTGCACTTTCATTGATCCTCACTACCAATATCGAAAAGTATCATTCATTTTGGCTTGCCTATCTTATACCAACGGTTGCATTCGTTGGTGCCATTGTCGTCTTGATTATTGGTCGCAATCAATACGTTCAAAAACCTCCAGCTGGTTCACTGCTCATTCGCTCTGCTCGTGTAACAATGACTGCCATTCGAATGCGATGGAGAATGGGTAAGCAAGCCGATCGCCCAACTCTTTTGGATTACGCCAAAACAATACCACCACCCACTGATTATAATAGATTAGAAACAGGAACAGAAACAAATAACAATCAGTTTATTGATGATTTGAAAAAAGCAGTGCGTGCTTGTCGTGTTTTTGCTTTCTATCCTTTGTATTGGATTTGCTACAATCAATTTGGAACTAATTTAGTATCACAAGCTGCACAAATGAATGTCGGTAAGTTCGTGATTTCTCTTAAAATAATTAAGAAAACAGGACGCTTTCGATAAAGAGGGTGTTAAGTATATATGTATATTTGATGAAATAAATATAAGTTTTATATTGATAAAACCATTTTTATTCATCGTATTGTCTTTGTCTGTTTAGGTCCTCTACCCAATGATATTTTACAAAATATCGATCCACTTGTATTGATCATTTTAATTCCACTTTTTGATAAAGTGATCTATCCTGGCTTACGACGATGTAAAATTAATTTTTCCGCTATTGCCCGTATTGCTTGTGGTTTCTTATGTGTTTCCCTTGGCATGGGATGGTCAGCATTCGTTCAACATTTAATCTATACTTCTGAACCAAACGGGGACTTTGTTCCCAAACCTGAACCACATGAACAACAGTATAACAATATTACTGTGGCTTGGCAAATTCCTGCGTATTTCTTCATTGCTCTCTCTGAAATCTTTGGTTCTATTACTGGTCTCGAGTATGCATTTACTCAAGCACCACCGTCAATGAAATCCATTGTCATGTCACTTTTTCTATTCACATCGGCTATTGGCAGTGCTATTAATATTGCACTTGTACCAGTCTCAGTCAATCCAAAAATACTATGGATGTATGTAGCATTGGCTGGTGAGTCGTTCGTCACTGGTATCGTGTTTTACTTTGTTTTTCGAAATGATCAAAGAAAAGTGCACGTCGAAGAAATATCCACAAAATAATTTATATTAGACTTTTTTTTATTATTCATTTTTCGCATCTTCTTCATTATCAATAAATAGATTCAAACCTCCTAAAGCAAACAGAACATACATATACTGAGATTTTAGAGCGCTTTAAAAAGTCGAGGATATGGGCATTATATTCGTATCATACCTACATCCATTTTCGAAATAACAATAAAAAGATCTTTATCTAAAGCAAAAAAAACAATAAAAATGATTTGTTGGTCAATTTATCCGACAAAAACAAAAGAAAAAGAAAATCAAATCATTGAAGTTATTAAGGAAGGTTTCTCATGAAAATTTCAAAAACCTCAAAATAGAATTATTGAAATCTTGTTTTTTTCTTTTTTCATAAACTGAAACCAAAAAAGTATTTTTTTTCTTTTCCTGTTAAAATATTTTGTGCAATAAAAGAAAAGTATGAAAAAAAAACATAATATAATTTTATTTTGTAAGAGAATTAAATGTTTAATAAAAAAATATGATTATAAATAAAATTTTGAAACAAGTTAAGGAGAAGATTTTTTCAAGTAAATCAATTTCAAATCTTTTAGCAACATTTGCTTCAAAACTTCATCAAAAAAAATCGGATCAAAGTAAAAATAAATTATTCTTTTTTCTTTCTCGCATTAATCGATTCAGCATTTTGTGCTTGTTTACATTGAATAATTGTTATAACAAATCCAAGAATATTTAACAGAAAAAGAAACCATTGATAGTAATTTAATTCCACCAGAATTCCTTTTGATGGTATTTCAGCTAATTTACCTTCTAAAGGTACTGCACGTGCAAATGAAATAAATAAAGTACTAAACAATTGGATAGCTCTGATAATACTTGTTAAATGTTGTTTAATTGGAGCTTTCGTTGTAAATATTTTCCATAAATCACCTAGAGCAGCCCAAATTGCTAACGGAATTGTTATCAGTGTAAATAAATTCCACCATTTCCATATCGGTGCATTGACTTTGAATAATACATAATCTTGATAAAGTTCATGTTGTTTTTCATTGAGAACATAAGTTGATAGACTGTATTCAATTGTTTGAATTGTTAGAAAATATGTACTGAATAATACACCCATGACTATTGGAGAGATCGATTGACTCATGTTGGATAATATCACTGAAGTAAAACTAAAAAATCAAGAAATGATATTTAATAGAAGATTCATTTGTATGTTTACCTGAATGTGGTGCGTTGGTTGTATTCGAGCACGTGTGTAAGTGAGAAGAACACGAAAAAATATTTAGGTAAATAGTAAACGTTGTGTCTCTTAATTTTTCTCAATCCTCTTGGTTGCCTCTTTTTTTATGAATGTTTAAAACAGAAGTGATCGTGCGTGAAATACAATCAAAAATACTTGCATTGATAGATATAATCGATTAAATACAACATTCTGTGTTTAAATTTGATCAAAATTTTGATTTTCATCGATTAAATCAGTCAAAATAATATATTGTAATAGGTTTTAATCACAATGAAGAAAAAAATGTGTTTTTATCCGTTTTCTAATTATCGATCGAATTTCTCGACTTTTTTTACGAAATCGTCGCATTGATAAATTGTGAGTCAACAGTAGAGCAACCTTTGATGACTTTATCCTGCTTCCAGGCTCGGCATAGCTCGATATTCACCCATTCATGCAAAAATATTAATGATCTTGATTAAAATCAGATATTTCACGCTTCTTTTTATATGGGTAGTGATTGTTGGACTATCTGATAAGTTGATATATAGTACTGAAATGTATGGAGCAAAACTTTTTAGAAGCATATTAGCTTTTGAAGAGTGAAACACAACATTTAACTTTGTACTCTCACCAAAATAGATTAGAGTGGGTGTCGGTGTAATTATCCGTGCAAACAAGCACATACCTATGATAGAAATGTTGATATTTATCCTTTATTTTATCCTATATTTATAGAAAAGGAAAGTGAATGAGAAGTGGCTCGCTGGCTTACAATATATTGGCATAGCTATTTATATATGCATGCGAAGAGATCAAAGAGAGAGGAAATGATAGACAGATCAGAATTCATCACATACCTCACCACCATGATGCGAGTGTTTCTGTATTTATAATATACTTAATATGAACTGACTTATAGAATCACTATAAAATACTCAGCAACAGCTCAGATTGTAAATCGGAATTGAATTCTGAGCTTCTTTTAAAGTCAATGCTGATTTTTTTTTCGAAAATAAGATTGAATCTTTGTAAATTTAAAAAATCAAGTATTTCTGAAATACTGAAAATTCATCGATTTTTAATCCTTCTATTCCTATTTTTCGTTTTGGTCTATTCTAAAACCCTTCTTTATTTTCATGTTTCTTTTTTCTTATACCTGATGCCTTTTACATTATTTTTCTGTTTCTAATACAATTTTATTCTTATCTATGTGAAGACGTTTCTTGTATAATGCACAGCGTTAATGAATGTTTTGATATGAATAAAATATACCAAACGCGTAGGTAAATTAAACTGTGCATTGATTATTTTTTCTAATACTTCAGTTATATAACCGATTGCTGAAAAGCAAAAGTTGAGAATAGCAGATTGTTTTTGTGTTTTTTT